CATTCTGTGATTCTGTGAAAATGGGTAAAGCTCCTGGGATGCTGTTTCCCGCTTTCCCACCTGCCCAGCCCCGTATGGCTTCTCCCATCAGATGCAGCCATGGTGCGCATCACACCCAAAGCAGCTGTGACCTGGGGTCATTCCCAGGTGCCCAGTCACTCCTACCCCAGGTTGGTTTTCAGGTCCTGCCCGTCAGATTAATACAAACCCAAGTTTCTGGGTCAAAAACCAGTTTGCCTTAAAAACGTTTAAACGAGGGGGCTCCTGCTGGGGGCCTCACTTCCACGTGAGCCTCCATAGCTTTTTCAGGGTTACAAACCGCCTCCCCCCGTGTCTACGCCTCGTGCATACACGCAGTGCCAAACGCTGGGGTCACGGGGCCCTTTGCACCAGTGGCTGGGTGTTAGGGTTCTGCTGGCTGCAAGAGGAACGGGAGGGACTTGTGTCCGTGCTGGATTGGTGCTTCCAAGGAACAGTGATAGCAAAGTACCGGAGTGCGGATGGTGCTGCCGCGTGCCGCTGTCAGCAGCGGAGAGGGTGGCGCTGCGGCCTCTCTTTTGATGAGGATGTGATGCTGTTGGAAAAACACATATAAAAAGCAATTCTTCAGGGTAATAAGATTAATAAAAATTCCTTCAATGAATCCTCAAGATCAGCAGCTTTTGATTTCTGAGAGCTCAGCTGCTGCCTTTCATTAAATATTCCATTTCATGCTTCCTCCTCCTAGTGCCTGCTCAGGGCTTCCGCCGTCCCGGCACGTGTACAGTGGAATAATAATCTGTACCTGCGAGGAGAGGGAATGGAAGCGGAATGCCCGGAGGAGTGTTCCAACGAGGCAATGCCAAAGGATGGGGGAACGAGCTCAGTTGTGTGAGTGGCAGAGGGGGCAGCAAACCGGGCGGCTCTTCCCTGCCTCGCGCTCTGCAGCTGGGCTGGTTTCCGCATGCGCTTGCTTCCCATTTCGTTTTTCAGGAAGTAGGGCATGAAATTAAGCCTGGAAGGTCATTTTTTTCCCCCATCTATGCTGTTTAGAAATGAGAAAAGAGCGTATCTGATTACACAGGTAAAGACAGTGAATTTTTTCCAATACGTTACATAGTGGTTATAATTATATGCGCTGTTGATCGATGATACAATTAAATAAATTAACGTCAAATAAAGAGCTGGAGATTACATTTCTTCGAAGACTTAATTTCCCTGAGTATCACAAAGCACAATTAGTGTTCCTTTCAGGTATTTTTTAATGAAATTGGCATGAAAAATGTCGCAATCTCTGCTTCCCGTGGCGGTCTCGGTCAGCCGGCTGCAGTAAGGGTTCTGCAGGCTCGGTACCAGCCGGGTTGTGCTGCTGAGGGCGGCAGGGAAGCGCTCCGCAGACGGAGGCGATGAGGCTGAACGCGACCGGCCCTGCGAGCCCGGCAGGAACACGATTCGCAGGGGTAGGGAACGGCAGCAGGAGCTGAACGGCAGAGGGATGTGCCGCCTGTTGCTGTAGGGGCGGCAGAAACCTGCCAACAGTGGGACCGAGGGCCGACGGAGGGAACGTGCGGCCGTTCCAGGTACACCAAGCCCATCCTTGCACTGCTGATCGCTCCCGAGGCATTCCGGAAAGGTCCCAAAGCAGCTTCTTCCTGGTTTTTCCCATCGGCAGCAGCAGCTTTAGACCAAAGTGCCGAACCGCCCTGTGTCTGACAGGCACGACAGGGCTGTTGGGTTTATCCTGGGTTTATCCCAGACATCTGCAGGTGCTCCCGCCTCCAGCGCAACCCGGGATCTGTAACCCGCTGCTGGAATTGGGACCAACAACAGGCTGGGGCAGTGGCGGAGGAGACGGAACCTTCACAAAGAATTCGGGAGAGCTTGTGGGCACCAAACCCTGGCAGCCTAATTTCCTGTTTGTTAATGGGCAATTAGCCTGTCCTAAGTAAAAGAACTTAGAGGAATGCAGCTGTAACCCAGCGGCTGCAGGGATCCTACGTTTCCACCAAAAGGGGCCCAAAAGGCCTTTCATTCCTTTACAGGGAGGGGAGCAAGAAAAAACCTGACTGTACCAGCCCTTGGTGAATGGCAGCAAGAGATGGGCTTGATGGGCTTGTTAACGAACGAGCTGAGACGCAGCTTTGTGGGTAGAACGAACCCGCAGGGGAGGAGGAGGGTGAGCCGTAGGCGCTGCCAGGCTCGCTCTGCTGTCCTTTTCTCCCTCATCACCAGGAGGTATCGCCTGGGGGTACCCCCGTAGCTCCTCCTCGTCCCGGGCCTGCGCTCCCTGCGCGTATGCACGCACGGGAACGGCTCACCAGCTGCCTGCCGTCCTTCCGTCAAAAAATCCGTCGGTTGAAAGCTGTGCAAGCAGTTTATGGTCATCAAGATGACATTGCGAGCCAACGACGATCTTTTTTTAAGGCGGA